ACTCACACAAATTTGGAGGCTAGTGAGTTCCTGTAAGGTAAACCAGCAGGCTAGAGACTCAGGAGAGCCAGTGTTTCAGTTTGAGTCTACTGTAGAATTAGGAAGAGGTAATTTTGGAAAGAATTCCAAAGGCAGTCTGCTGGAGAATTCTGTTGGTTAGGGAGGCTAGCCTTTTTGTTCTAGTCAAGTCTTCAACTGATTGGTCGAGGCCCACCCACATTACGGAGGGCTATCTGCTTTACTCAAAGTCTACCTACTTAAATGTTAATCTTACCTAAAAATATTCTTAAACACCTAGAGTAATCACTGACCAAATATCTCTTCAGCGTCTGGGGCCTCCGTTGGTACATCACAAAACACTGGGAGGAAGGAACTTGAATGGCCAAAGTCTGGAATCATCTGAAGGCTTCTTTAGCCACAGTCTGGCACCAGGACTAGGGTGGCATGAACTGGGTTCATCTGAGACTTGGACCAGAGCCCACATACGAAGCACTCCATGGGGCTGGGACTCCTCAGCATAACAGCCAGGTTCCTAATGGTAACACCCTGAAGGGAACATCTGGAGAGGAAGCATTCCAATAGCCCAAGGCAGAAGTGGCAAGGCTTCATCTGACCTAGCCTTGGAATTCACCCAGTGTCACCTCCACCATGATCTATTAAGAACAAGTGAGTCGGCTCGGCACCTGTGGCTCAACTGGCTAGGGCGCCAGCCACGTACACCTAAGGTGGCGGGTTCGAATCCCCGGCCCGGACCCGCCAAACAACAATGATGGCTGCAACCAAAAAAAAAAAAAAGAACAAGTGAGTCATTACAGCCAAGCAAGACTGAAAGGAGCAGAGCTAGGTCCTATCTCTTGACGTAGCATGACAAAGTCACGTTGCAGAAGAGTATGTGGGATGAAAGACGTGCATGTGTGTGTTTGTATGAGTGCAGAGAGAGAAAATTTGCCACAAGTAAGCAAAGATCCTATATGATTTAAGGTACAGCTAAACAGAAGTGGTATTCAAAATATTTACATTATAAATAGATACAAGGTATCTTTGGCGATGATAAAAAACATTCCAAAACTGGATTGTGGTGATGGTTGCACAGTTCTGCAAACTTACAAGAAAATATTGAATTATACACTTGAGGAAAATGAACATTGTGACATATAAATTATACTTCAGTACACCTGGTAAATATACAACTAGCGCACCCGGACACTAAAGAATCAGAACAGACGCCATGCTGGCCAAGAAGCTGGAACTGGCTCCTGGGCGCCCCCTCTAGGTGAGCAGTGGAAAGGCCTCAGGTGTGTCCAGGAGGGAAAGTGGTGACCACGGTGACTAAGGGACACCCAGGGGCTTCCACAAGCTTCACAGGGCAGTGGCTGTTCATGAACCGGTATGGAAATATTTTACTATTTTACCAACATTAAGAGCTTTGAAAACAGTAAAGCAGAGTAAGAAAATGGGAAGAATAGGTTCAGGGCAAGAGAGGACACATTTAAGATGTGGTAGATGAGGCTCTTTCGGAGAAAGCAGACTCCCAGCAGGACTACTTCTGTACAGCCTTCTAATACCTGACGTGATGTCAGGAAATTAAAACGAGTGAGTGGATCGGCAGTCATTGGGACCAGGAAAAATATTTCACATTAGAGAAGAAGGGTGAGAATGGAGTTCAAGGTTGAGTATTGAAAGTGAAGGTAGGAAAACCACAGAGGCAGGAGAAATAAGGAAGAGGAGAGGAGGAGGAGGGCTGGATTTATGTTTCTGGTGTATATCTTTGTTGTTTCTGGAGATGGTGCCTTCAGGATCCTCTGCCCACACTCCCACCAAGCCTGTCCCAGCTGCTCCCAGCTGTAGACTGAACACAGAGGGGCCTCTCAAGCTGGCCATTGTGAACTCTTTTAGTGGCCAATCCTTTCTCTGGGACTGCCCGCAGGCCTGACCAAGACTTTCTAGGAACTGCAGTCTGAGGCACTTAATACCCAATCCCTTTCCATCCCTTTCTCTCCCTTTACAGAGGCCCATTTGCAGTAAATTGAATAGTGCCCCCAATTCACATCCACCTAGAGCCTCAGAATGTGACCTTATTTGGAAATGGAGTCTTTGCAGATGTAATTAAAGTAAGGTCATACTGGATAAGGGTAGGCCCTAAGTCCAATGACTGATGTCCTTAAAATAAGTCCAGGCAAAGACACAGAGAGAAGAAGCTGGAACCAGATATTAAAGTGACATGTCCACAAGCCAAAGAACACCAAGGATTGCGGGCGACCTCCAGAAGTGGGAGAGAGGCATGGAGGAGACGCTTCCTCAGAGCCTCCAAATGGACCAGTCTAACCAACAACTTGACTTCAGACCAGTCTGACTGACGACTTGACTTCAGACCTTGATTTCAGACTTGCAGAACTGTGAGACAATAAGCTTCTATTGCTTTTATCCATCCAGTTTGTGGATGCCCTCCCCAGCTGCTCTCCCTCTCCCTCTGTCCTTCCCATGCATTGCCACCAATAAATCTCCTACACTTCTAATCCATCTTGGCGTCTACTTCCCAGAAGACACAAACTGCCACATTCCTAAAATAAAAAATTAGCCCAACTTTTAGCTTTCAAGTCAAAGCTTCAGAAAGTGTCTTTACCATTGATTCCACAAGAAGTATGGAGCTGATACTCCTTGACTGTGCTGAGTGGAAGGGGAATAAAAATGAACAAGACGTAGATACTTCCCTCAGTCCTCTCTCAGCCTAATTACAGAAAAGGGTTTCATCCTGAGGAATGCATGGGGAAAAATTTAAAACTCAATACAGAAACAAAAATGTCCTAGTTGAGATATGATATGCAAAGGATATGAAGGCAGTGCAGGTGCTGAGATGCTTAGCAGAATGGAAGGTCCCCTGACCCAGAGGACACCACAGACGAAGAGGAAATACTTACACTGATATCTGAAAATGAAAAGGAGTCGGCCAGATAGAGAGTAGGCAAGGGGCATTCTAAGCAGAAGACAAGTGGGTATAAAAGCATATAAACTCTCGATGAGACTAAAATGAAGCTGATCTTAAGTCTCACTCACCTTGGGAAAGAAGAAAGGAGATAACACGATGAAACAGCCCCTCAGAATTGGCCTTGGAATTGTGCTGGAGCTGAGGATGCCACGCAGAGTTTGGGCATAGGTTACCTCCTGACCGTCCTCGCACGCCTTCTCCTCACCCAGTTAGACTTACTCCTGGGTTTACATGAGACCTTGGAGACCCTAACTAAAGTTGAAATTTAGTAGGAATCTGGAATTCCTCAGATCACAGACACAACTGGTGATCTGGGGAATCCAGCAGAACTCTCCTCACAATCACCACTAAGAGAAAATCTGTGTCAAATACCAGTGCAGGGGGGCAAAAAATCAGTGTGAATCAGCAGCATTGAAATTATATTACTGAAATAAGTAAGAACCAAATTATGTGGTTTTGTAAGATAAACCTTGTACTTGTTTGGAAGCAAAAGTTAAGGTCTCTTCAATTAAAAAGATACATTTTATATATATAAATATATATATGTATATGTTTGTATATATCATCTGAACAATCTAATATAAAATAAATCACGAGACATTTTTACGAATGTCCACACTTTGTTCAAAGTGTCTAGTCCCACAGTGAGTGTGTAGCTAGTGGGGCAGGGGGAGGGTTGGGAAAGGAGGGGTCCTGGAAAAAAGGAACAAGTGACAAAGTGGAACAATGACATCAAAGAAAAAAAAGGAGAAGGGCAAGAAGATCAAGAAAGGAAAGAGAGGTCATCTTGGTAAATCCTGCTACTTCTCTCCCTCTAGAACAAAAAGAAAGTTAAGAAAAAAAATTACTGAAATGGAAATGAAATAGATACTAAAACACTGAACAAAGAGCTCTAGACAGGGAAGAGGAAGTCTGCCGCACAGGCTGTCCCCGGTCTCTGCAGTGGGCACACTCTCTACCTCCCTGGCCTAGACTGGCCTCCTTCGAGTGGACCCCGCACTCCTTTCTGAACAACATGGGGCCCAGAGAATTTTAGATGTTCACGTACAACCAGTTACAGGTGTTATCAGACCTCGGTCTCCCCCAGGCTGTCTCTAGACAGGGAGGAATTTCTCACCGGCAACCAGAGTCATCCAGGGTCTGTCTCACAAGTCACTGGTGAGCAGAGGTGACAGGAAGGAGCCTTCAGGACAGAATGCCAGCGGCTGCCAAGGGGCCGCTTAGACCAGTCTGAGTCCCTTAGGAACAGCTCTGTCCCGCTGCTAGTCCTCAGACCACGCCACAGTCGGTACTCTTTCTAGAAGGCACGCAGAGGTTAGGAAGCAACACATGTCCCACTCCCGAGGAGCTCCTCTGTCCAGGTAAGTCTGGGCACAGAGCCGCACTGGTGTGAGCCCCGCAGTGCAGCTCAGAGACTGCTGTGGGGGGGGGGTCTCACAGACCGGCTGAGCGGGCACCTGGATGGCCCCCACCAGTCTCTGGCCTTCTCACCTAACCTCCTCATGGAGGACACAACGGTCTCTGGTCAGCTCAGCGCCCGAACCTCAGGGCTGTGTTAGAAAGCCTAGGTCAGTAAGCAGAAATGCCCCGAAGGGGCTAAAACCCAACTGGAGGGTCCACTAGCCATGCGACCCTGATTTCTTCACCCACTCTAAAGGTGTCCCTGATACAGAGG